TCCATCCTTCAAATAACAGAAGAACTATTCTAAAAAACTCTGTAAAACCCGGATGGGTGGAACCTGATCTAAACTACATTTTATGATTGGATAAATTAGATATTTTACCAATGTAAAGTATTTAATACTAACCAATCATGATCCATCTAACTAACAACCCACTTATTTGTAAGTGCTGAAATTACTTGTAATTTCAGCACCAGAGAGATTTGAATTTAACTTAGAAATTAGTTGGACTCTCCCGAGTACTTCAGCAGCCGCAATAAACCAGTATACCCTAGATCTATTGAGCCTAGCAGAGACTAGTTAAACAACCTGAGACTAGATAGTATAAGAGTAAGATTAGGATCGGTATTAGACTAAGAAGTTGCACGAATCTATCCGGCCGAAAATAAGATAGCGTGACGAGCAGACGGTGTACCCTATCCGAAATTACTCTATGAGTTATACACTTCGGTCCTAACTCAAAAAGTTACAAAAAAACGTCTTGTCATTGTAGAGAACATCTTAAAATTTTTAGTTACAACGAATTTAAAATAATTATTTCTATCGTGTAGGAAGAAGAGTCAATGATCCATAATCCTCAAACCTTCAGAACGCAACATGTTAAGCCAGGGGCGGATCTAGGATTCTCTCGAGGGGGGGGGGGGCGGTTTTTCAAAAAAATTCGACAAATTTCGAAAATTTTGTCGACCTTTTTTTTAGGTCGTCCCAATTGATTTTTTGAGCTCTCCCTAAGCACTGTTTAGTACCTGTTTTGGCCAAACTTTCTGCGACGCACGCAAAATTTTGAAAAAACAGGCTAAGAAGGCGTTTTTAGGCACTTTTGGAAAAATTTGACCAAAAAATCGCGTTTTTTTGCCGAGCAATCCCCCCTCAAAATTAGTATCTATTGGCACCGAAGGCGCCTTTAAAAAAATTTAAGGGTCGGTCGGCCAAAATTGGATTTCTTAAAAAGTACCAAAGGGGGGACCCTTTGGGTCGGCAGGAGGTCGAATCCGCCCCTGCACCCCCCCCCCCCGCCCGCTACCCTAAGTCCGCCCCTGTGTTAAGCTTAGGTAATGTTTATTAGGAAAAATTGGGTTTCTATTCATTTCTCACTCGTCCCCCATCGCTTCCAACAGACAAAAACAATTATTTTCATCATGATGATGATCATCATCACCATCAATTTGGTTTGCGCCAGTTTCTGGTATTCTCTGTTGGCAGATTCATTGGTCACGCTGTTTCTATCAAATCTATTCTTGAATGAGGTTTTCCTACAGCATGCCTGGTTTGAAGAAGATATAGCGCTATAGCCTTGAGCGGCTTTCTGCACTACTCAATATTTACCTGTAATTATTAATATTAAAGGATTGAATTAGTAATTAATAACTAATGATATTAAGCGATTGTATCTGATAACAAGAAGTGCTTATTTGTGCTAATTAGCATGCCGAGTTCCATGACAATTAGACTAAGTGAACAAAAGCTAACAATACAAAACAACTCGATTGGTTGAATAGTTAAAGAGCCAAAAATTCATTTAAAAAAGACAATTTTTAACCCATGGTACACAGTGGCTTAGAGATAGCAAATTTATATATGTTTATATGTATAAAAAAGCACCCTAAGCTCCGAGGAAAACAATAAAGATGATTGATTTCGGTATTGCTATGAAAAAAGAATCTGACAAAAGTTTGAAACTACAACAAATCCTTATGTTGTCGTTATATGGAACACTGCACTTTAGTTACTCACAAACCTAGATAGGATAGCCCATTCCTAAATCTTTCAGTTAATGAGTTTTTAAGCCATATCAGTCGAGATATGATAGCCGTCAAAGTATTTCAAACAGGTTTTTTTGGTGTCGAAAAAAACCGGTGTCAAATTTTTTGCCTTAATTAATTAATTCAAAAACAAGAAGCATCCATTAGGCTTCTAATTCTTTTTAAAAGGTTTCATTGAGCATTTTCCAAAAACACAATACTCAAAGAAAGTCGTTCAAAAATATTTTGTTGACTTGCAACAGTGGCTACAGTTTACTAAACCCATTGATAATGTTTTCAGGATAAACTACATTTCTCTACTCGCCACACAAAAATAAACATATTTCGAAAAAAATGGCGTTCGGATAATTTTTTTGCTCATTGCCCAAGAACCGACCATTCTCGTTTTTCTGACCAATCTCGAAGAGTGGAAAAGAACTATGGATAAGTTCGTTTTTTTTTTTCATTTTTCAATTTCTCACTAACTCAATTCTCACTCACTAACGCAATTTCGTAGGGCATCAAGTGTGGTTTCATTATAAAACCCTAGTAGTCGTGATTCAGATTCACAAATCGATCAAACAAGTCTTCTTAATATGAGCAAAAACTGACATATTTCAGATTTTCAAACTGAGTTAAACAAAAAATTCTAAGTGACCAACTTCCCAATCATACATCTTCTGGAATTTTAACGCTTTTTAACTATTTGTTGTTGCTTTTTCTCGTGTTCTTTTTTTAACTCGATCACTTTTCAAAAAAAAAAATAAGAAACAAGAATATTACACAACAAAAGTTGTACATTTGCCTTCATTTCATGTTCCGACTTCTCGGAAATAATTTTAAAGTTATTCTAGTAAAAAGATTCTAGTGAGTACTCTTATGTAGGCCTTGATGATTTTTTGATTTTTATTTAGGAAAAAAATCTTGTCCAACCTTATTATTGATTTTTGATCGCGGTTTGAATTTTGATTTCTTTTTAAGTTTGTTTCATTTATTTCTTTAAAAAGAAAGCAAACTCCACTATCGAACAGCAAAATTGTACATGTCACAAAACCGTGATTGACCTCTACATTCAAAAACTGAATTTAATTATCTGATTAACCAGAGAGCTAAAAATTTTACTAAAGGATCCAGTTTTCTCAAACTGTCCAGAAGTTAATTTTAGCAAAATGTGTCAAACATAAATTGTTCGTGTTATCCAAAAAAATGTTGCAAGGGCATTTATTTTTACTTTACAAGTCGCAAGTTTTTTTCTGTTTGTCTGCGTTTGTTGATCTTCTCCAACTGCCATGAATTTCTTTTGTTTCAGCTCAACACAAAATTGAAAAAAAAGCTAATTAAGTGGGAAAAAACTATAGCGTAGGTTGTTTTCTTTCAAAATTTTTTGACCCCCTGAAAGAAAACAGTGAGGTCGAAAATGTGGAATTGTTTAAACGCATTTGGTCCCATATCTACTTTTAAAATTTTTAAAGTAAGAATCGAGAAAAAAACTGGCCAGAAAAATTTTAGTTGTGACTAAATTAGACAAATTTGCTCAGAAGCTGACCTCAAATTTTTGTGCTATTAGAATTTTGTTGCTAAAAATGAGATTTTTAACCAGTGAACTCATGCCATCATAGTGCTCTCCTTGCAAAAAATCAAATTTGATTTCACAAATGAATGAAAAAGATTCCTTTTTCTTAACAAATCTGGTCGAAAGATTCTCTGCTACTTGAGCAAAAATTGGCAATCATTTTTTAATAATAATCAGTGAACAGGAAGTTTAAAAAGATACAAACGTCCTAAGAAAAGACTTTCGTTTAAAAAATTTAAAGTTCACAATCTAATTTCTAGGATTTATTAAGACGATTGAACCGTAAATGAGTTAATTAATTCAATCTTTTCCCACCGTTTTTTTTTTCCGCAGGTTTAGCGTTCTATTTTTAAGGAAAACTTTTTTTGCTAATTTTTTTGTGAATTTTTTTGGATGTTCTTTAGTAAAATGTTAAATTTTTCAAAAAGAAACTTTGCTTAAGTAGTCTTTATTTAGACCACTGCTGTTGTTGCATATTTACTAGTTTCTGAGAAATAGTTACTCAAAAACGTAAGATTTGAAGTAGCTTTCTTTGTTTGACTTAAAAAACCTATTTTTGATCTTCTTTATAGGTCAAATTTTTGTATGTAATTTCAAGGAAGTTTTTATTTTGAAAAATACTGCACCGCGTGGATTCAAAGACTAAAAGAAAAAAAAATTGGAGTCATATTCACGCCACCTGGCTAATTGTTGCGTTGTTGTAGGAAAAACCAAATTTGTTTCAAGCAATAGGTCGATAATTTAATTACACTTTGAACAGTACTTTCAAAGCAGTGTTTTTTTTTGCGTATAAAAACCTCAATAAAATATTAACAACAGCAACTGATGCGAGTTGAAAAAAAGGCAATATTATATCTGTAAAATTATATTGGAATTTTTGGGCTCTCTCTTGATATAAAACTTTTCTGTATCTCCATTAAGAACTTGTTTGACCCTTTTTTTAAAAATTAGATCAACTTAGAAAATATACATAAATTTTGGCGTTTTGGGTTCTTTTTTGATATAAAGACTTTCCGTATCTCCTTTAAGACTCTTGATTTAGTCTTGTTAATTTTTGATTTGTTTTTCATTTTTTTTTGCAAACCCAGCATCAAAAACAAAAAAACTTTCAAAAAAAACTTTAAGAACCGAATTTGACTTCAAAACTTTTATCGCAGTGAAAAAAGCAAAAACTTAAGCCTCTTTATAGAAAACCTAGAAAGTATTTACTTTTGGAACAGTTTTGAAAATGAGTAAAAGAAATTACTAACTTTGTGCTAGAAAAACGTGTTCACTGACAATTTTCCAAGTGTCTGTTGCCGAGTTTTTAACTAATTTTTCATATTTCAAAGGAATTTAACTTATTCTTACAATTGCAAATAAAAACAAAAGACTTGAAGCTGTTCTGCAAATTTTTTTGTTTTTTTTTGCAATTTTTTCTCTGAAATTATTAGATTATCCTTTGAAGCTCTTTTTCATTTGTTTAGTTTTACAAAATTTGCTCTGATTATTATTAAGTAATTAAATTAACCTTTGTAATTTTTTAATTTTGTTTGTTAGCATTTTTTTCTGAAATCAATAGACTAAGCTTTTGAAACTGATTTTCATTTGTTTTTTTTTTGCACTTTTTTGCAATTCTTTTGTATGTGTTTTTTTTTATATTTGTTCATTTTTTTTGCAATTTTTTATCTCTGTTCCAGGTCAGGAGCGATTCAAGAGTCTGAACAAAGTCTACTTCCGAGGTGCCCATGGTGTAATACTAGTCTATGACATCACCAACCACCACTCTTTCGAACAACTGAAGTCGTGGTTCACAGTGGCCAAGGAAAACGGATGTGACCCTATGAAGTGTGTGTACCTGTTGATTGGCAACAAGAATGACCTGGAGGATGTCAGGGCTGTGGACATTTCGGAAGGTGACTCAACTTCTCTCCTAGTTTCCTGATAGTTTTTTTCTCAATTCTTATACTAATTTTGTCATCTTGTCTTCCAACAATAAACAATATTAAGATCAAAGAAAAAAATGCACAATTTTTTTGATCTAAGAGGTCTTGAAAACTTTCATTAATTGTAGGTTTCAAAATATTCAAAAGGTTTCAAATGGTTTATTATGTGAAGCTCCGACGGTTAGAAACCGACTACTTCACACCATCGCTCAGCTCTCTTTTTTCAAAATTGCTTTATTAACGCTTGCCATTTTAAGAGCTGATAAAAATATGTTACCAAAAAAATTGACCAATCTTTCAAGAAAAAATATTTTCAAACAACTTTTTTTATTTTTCCTGTTTTTCTATCAATTTCTAATTTTTATAATTTTATTCATTGTCTAGGCGTCTCCTTTGCGCGCACAATCAACGCCAACTTTTTCGAGACCAGTGCTCTTAGCTCGGACAACGTTGAGAACGCCATGAACGATTTGATCGAAGAGATACACCGCGTGAACAAAACGAGCAACATCAAAAACACAAATGCCGACACCATTCAACTGAAGGAAGGTCAAGAGGTGAAGGCTAAAGGAGGCTGTTGTTCGAAAAGTTGAAAAGAGTTCAACGTAAACTGATATTTTGAAACTGATAACCGCTGTTCATGCTTGGTGTTGCAAAATTATTATTTGTGGTTTTAACGTTTATATACATTGTTTTAGAGAAAATAAGCTCCAAAAATTTTAAGTTTTTATGAAAAGCTCTACTGACCAACTGCGTTTCCACAAATGTAGATCATTTATCCAAAAAAAATTGGATGAGGGCTAAACATTGATTACAAAAGCTGATTACATTCAATATCATGTTTTGGCGGTGCGACTTGATTTTTTAAATTTTACGTGATTTATTTTGGCCAAATAGAGGTTAGTCTGCAAAAATTAAGGTCTGAATAAGATTTCTGTTACAAGCAGCAGATCGAGGTCCTCGAGGCAAAATTTCGGAGAATTTAGATTATTTCTGCCAAAAAAAATTATGTGGTTGGGGTAGATTCTTCCGCGAAAAAGTCGACTTTCACCGAGTTAGGTTCTGGCTCAGAAAATGAACCATTAGAGTTGGGTAATTTCAATAATTTTTTTAAACAATCTCTAACTAATTTCAAACAAATACATCGAGTGTAATCATGAATTTTACTAGTGGCACCTTTTTATACCGACTTCTCAGAAAAGCATAAAATTTTAGTGCTTAGGCCGTCTTTTTCTCCTGAGAGATCTTAAAAAATTATTGTTAATGATGATGTATAGTTTAAACCATCTACTCATAAGTTATAATTTCTAGGTTATTTTATATGTCATCTTATTCTGCAAAAACTGAGGAGTTTGAAAAAGGCCAACGCGACCAATTGTGGATAATGCATGCGCCCGATTTCTTGTTACGACTTTCGCAACGAAAGAAAAGAAATATTTGTGCTCGGGCTGGTTTCTTTCTCTTCAGACAAATTTCGACTTTTTAACTAGCTATTTTTGACGCATTTTTTTGATCATTCGAAAGATCTTGTTGACTTGAGCTTAAATTTGAAGTTTGTAATCATTTTTTGCAAAACTATGGGGGCTTGGAGATTGCCATTTTGGCCAATTTGGTACAATAAACGCGCGATACATTTCGCGCTATTAACGCGTAAGCGGAGACTTAATCCGTCTTAAAGGAAGCTTATTTGCCAAACCGAATTGTTAAAAGGAGCGAAACCTATCACTTTGTAAAATGGCGTGTGGTGTGATTATATTCACAAAAAATCTCAAATTAAAAAAAAGTTTCGTTTCTTTTTATTACATTCAATATTCTCGAGGTTTTATTGCTCCATAGACCCTGAAAGGCAGTCGGAGCATTCAGGTCTTCGCTTTGAAACGAGCAGTTGTGTTAGTTTCTAGCAACATAACGTAAGAAACGATCTAATCCGGCTCAAAAATTGATCAAAATTGAATTGAGGCATTGTAAATGTTACACATAGGAGACATCGATTTTGAAAATGCGCGTGGTTTTGAAAAATTTTTCATTTCGTAAATTTTAACCAAAAAAAAACAGAATTCAGACTAGGTTTTATATTTACGATGATGAAACAAAAAAAAACAAAGTTATCATTTTGTGAGCGCTCCGAATTCCTCGCCACTTAAAAAATTTAGAATAATGGTGCCAAAGGTGCGTTCAAGATATATTAGCTTCGGTCGGCCAAATATGGATGTCGTTGGTAAATAGTCCAATCCGCTACGGAGAGGCTAGAAACGTAGAGAGTAAAAAGGGTCGAGAGAAGAAGCGCCCTTCCCTTAAATCCAACTCTGCTACAGATATTTTAAAAAAAGTCAAAAATCAGGGATTCGCCTTGATGCAAGCCTTGTTTGTTTTTTCTTTCACATTTTTGTAATGCTTAGTTTTCAAATAGAATGAATTTTGTTGCTTCGAAAATATTGATGCCCTGCGATCATAATTTGAAAAATTTATCTCATCTCTGTAAAAAAAATTTTTCACTAAGACTATTGGATTTCTAATATTGTCGTTGGACTCATTTGTGAAAACAGACAATGTTGCTCGTATCATGGCAAAACTCTGATTGTTCTAACATACTTTTAAGGTCAAGTCTATGGATTAGTTTAAATTAAAACAATCGATGAAATTAAAACAATTGATGAAAATGTTTTTAGGATGGGATAATTCTCTTCTTACGCGTAAATAGCGCACAATATATCGAGCGTTAATTGTTGCAAGCCCCATGACTTAACCTTCAAGACTTTACTAAAAATCATCAGAGGGTAAATTTTTTTTCTTAGAATTTAAGCTCAAGACAACAAAACCTTTTGACTCATATATTAAACTTTTGTCAAACATGGCTAGTTAAATAGTCTAAATTTGTCTGAAGAAAAAAAACTAGCCCCCGGTGCAAATATGTTGGTACTTTCGTTACCAAAGTTTAAACATTAAACACACAATTTTCAGTTATTTTATAAACGCAGTCTGTTAATCCGGCTTGTGTTCCATTTCCATTATGAAAAAAAAAAGATTTAAAAATTTGAAAAATTCAATAAATTGCTGGACTTTTTTTTATGGTTCTGACCTTGTGTGTTGAGTGTGTTTTTAAGATTTGAAAAACAGGAACAATATTTTTCACATGCAATTAAATGTTAAAAACCCCTACTGTCGAGCTATTCCAGAATTACTTTTAAGTTTTCCATCAATTTTGAGTCGATACTCCAAATATTTGAACAGATTTTTCTGTTTTGCGATTAAATAATGTTTTTTCCTTGAAATTTCCTAAAATTTAAGAAATACTAAAAATGCTTCAAAGTCCAAATTAGTAAGAACATATAAAGTTTTATATTTGTTCATTGCAAAAGGATTTTGTTTAGTGAAGCGTTCAATCTGTGAAAAGTTTTCACGAAACAATTTGAGTTGCAAGGGAGTGGATTTGTCCGAGACTTGCCAGACTTAAAGAAATAATTTCTTTGTGTTGTTGAGGTTAACAAAAGTTATGTAGCAACGGATATTTTTGGGAAATTGTCAATCTCTGGTAATTTAGATTTTTTTTATTCCAGGTGATTAGTGCTTCAAGTTAGGTTTTTAAGGGGCCGAGAAAAAATTCAGATTAAAGATTAAAAGGATGAAGCTGGTAACTCAACTTGTTCAAAGGGGCCATTGAGTGGAATCTTAACCTATTTGTTTATATACTGTTTTACCTTTTCCTATCACCATGCTTATGATAAATAAGTGTTGACTTATTTGCATTTGATAAAATTCCAAATTTTGTTATTAAAAAGTTTTTTTTATGTGTTCAGCTGCAGCAGTTCAAAAATACTGTTTTTTTAAACACGAGCAAGCTAAAAAAAACTGTGTGTGAGAAAATTTTGTAACTGTGATTTAACTTATAAAACTGCGCTCTTTTCTGACCAAATTGAAAACTTGTGATTGAAAAACCGACTGCAAAAAACCTCAGCAATTCAAACGTACTTTAACTAAGTTCCTCTATGTTTATGGCTGCAGTTGGCATTACGTGGGAGCGACTGCGATGGAAATTTTTTGGTTCATAAACATGAATGCATGTAGTTTAATATTAGGTTATAAATTCTGGGCGCTCAGTTAAAAAAAACAATAACTTTGAAAAAAGTCGGGTTTTATTGCGAACAAACACAATATAAAAAGATTGAAATGCAAGTGGTTCAAATAATATGATTTGCTTTGACTTTCAAAAAAAACTACGGAACAATTATACTTGTGATGTGTTTTATGAAGTTTGATTTTCGACGTTTCAAATAAGCATTTTTGACCGTTTTTTTTAAATAATAACTGAGTGATTTTGCAGTCTGGAGCTCAAAATTAAAAGATTAAGTTTTATTTCTAAACCTGTCAGCTTTTTTTGTTATACTATAAGGGCTGGAAAATGGCTATATTTGGCCATTTTGGTATAACTGAAGCACAAAATTTTGCATTCTAATAGCACGTGTAAGCGGTGGTTTAATGAAATCCAAACTGAATTGAGACAAATCATTTGGTTTTATTTTTAGATCAGACTATAATTTTATCCGTTTGTAGTTTACAATAGCTTGAGAGGGAAAATTTCGAAATAAAAACTTGAAAAACAGAGCTTTATTTCCATTTTTGTTCAATTTCTCAGTTCACGATCAAAATTTTTTCAGTTTGAAAATTTCGAAATAAAAACTTAAAAAACAGAGCTTTATTTCCATTTTTGTTCAATTTCTCAGTTCACGATCAAAATTTTTTCAGTTTGATCTCAAAGAGGAAATTGGAAGTTCGGCGCTGCTGAAATGCGAGAAATTTTATTTGTTTTTCGTGAGACACATTTATTTATCACCTAATTTTTGTTTGCCAAATCTTTGAAACGCTTTTAAATTTATGGCTTTTAGTTTTTCGTCTGAGCTTAAACCACGCAAAAACAGCAGTTTGAAAGATTTTATATTTTTTTAATTCTGAAAATAGTAGAAGTACCTCATGATATAAATTCTTTTCATGCTTTCAATAAAATCATAATATCTATTAACCCTCTGCTTAATATCAAAGTTGATTTTTGGAATAGTATCATAAATTTTGTGTTTTCATCAGTATCATATTCAATTCAGTATTTTATTATCTAATATACGTCGTGGTGATTGTTTTGGCTTTTTGTTTTCTTAAATAAAATTATCTTTAAATTATATTTCAAAGAAAAACGTTGCCTAAATCACTGATCTACTAGGCAATCATATAGTCCTCGAATCACACCTCCAACTAATTTGAAAACAATTAAATTTTTCTTTTCTAAGTATTTAAATGAAAACTATCGGATCATGCTGTGCTACTTTGCCTAGAAAGTGGTTATCCTCGTTATTGTTGATCTAGTCGTTTTTTTGTTACGGTTGTTTTCGGTTTTTTGCCAAAAAAAATCTAAAAAACATAGTCAGATTACAGGCACTTAATTTTTTTATCCAATTTTTTCTAAAAATTGGAATATATTTTGCATGATCGGATAAATGTTTGACTTAATTCTTGTTAATATTTGAGTTCTCTCTGAAAATTAAAAAAAAATCTATAATCAAAATTTGGATCATTCGTGACGGAGGTGTTTTTCGTTGAAACA